TCCCTCCTTCCTCTTTTGGGTACCAGCAACAGCCCGATCCAACCTCCCCCAACACCCCAAATAACTCGCCCACCCCTCCCTCCACGCCCGTTCACGCTTCCGCTCCCTTCCCCGCCGCAGACTCGCCTCGATGGCTTCGTCGAACGCGCATCTGCTGCTCTCCCCCGCCTGCCGTTGCTGTTCCTGCTGGCGCTTCCGCTGCCGCTCCGCCCGCAACCGCGCCTGCTCCTCGAGCATCCCCTCCCGCGTCCGCTCCCACATCTTGCTCCGCACGTAGGCCGCGTACTCCTCCTCGTCCATCTGCTCGAGCTCCCCCGCCGGGCCCGTGGGGACGCTGGGGATGGCGTACGTGTGGATCGGTTGGCCGTAGACGGATTCCCAGTAGGTGGCGCCTTCGTCGTCGCCGAGGGCGTCGAAGAGGGATTCCCGGAAGGCGGTGTCGGGGTCGAGGGCTGCTGTTGGTGTTGGTGCGGTGGACATGGGGTCGGGGGTGGGGGGGCTGGTGGTTTTGTCGGGGCGGCGAGGGTCAGGGTGCCGGTTGCGGTGCGCGCGGCGGGCGCGGTGCGCGGTGTGGCGGGTTTCTTTTGCGAGGGGGTCTCTGGGGTTGACATTGGATTGGGTTCTGTCTTTGGGCTTGGAGCTGGAGCTGGGGCGGGAGGGGGATTTGAAGCGGAATCTTTTGCGGCGCGGTTGTTGGGTTTGGGTTGGCGCGTAGTGGTCGGTGGTGGAGGCGTTGGGGTGGGGGTGGGTGGGTGTGGGTGAGGTTGGGGTTGGGGTTGTTGATTCGGGCATTTTGTGGTGCGGTGGTAATATGAGGTTGTAGGTTTGTGGGCGAAAGGATGGCGTAGTTGGATGGAGATCTTTCGGTTCACGGCATTGCTGAGGTTAGGGTGTTCGATGCGAGAAAAGAAGGTGGGGATTGATGTGGTAACGTGCGTGACTCGGTTGTGTTTGATGCAGCTCGTGACGGTTCAAGGTATCTGAAAGAGTGACGGTGTCGAGGTTATCAAGGTGGTCGGTGGGTGTTACAGAAGTACATGTTGTATGAACTCAGCAGCGGAAACCATTCCAGACTCTTGGCGGGGAAGGAGTGACGACGGATTACTGGATGCGGTATAGTGTGAACTGCCGGAAGTATAAGCTAACTTACTACGATAACGGTATAATATTCTTGTCTTAAACATCGAATCAAATCTTGGGCGCTTGCTTGCTTGGCTTCTAGTCTCTGGTCTTTCTCTAGATTTGGCATTGTTGACCTCTACCAGGCCTTGATTACTAGTTTGGTCTTCTTTGTATGGCTAAATTTACCATAACCATGACTCTTCAATACTGACACTTTGATTGACTGTTCAGTGAATAAGCATAATTTATCATGCTTGGCTTTGTCAATAACCAGGAGAATGCTCCCTGATGAGGGTCTGGGAACAACCTAAAATATGGTTTCGCCACCGCAAAAGGAATCAAGAACTGATTCAGTTCAATCAACACACAGATGTATCCCAGTCTCGCCCCTCCGACCCTTCAAGTTTCTTGTTTCTCAATCTCCTAGCGACGAAGGAACCTCCAGATGGACTCATTCTTTGCAGAGCTGTAGCGATACTCAATATCCCTCCACCACGAGGAACGCTCTCCACTGGTAGATTGTCCGCCTTGTCGCTGTCCTTGGTTTCTTTTCTTCGGTGACGCCCTTCCCATGGGTCTCGCTTCGGGCGAGATGAGAGGCGCCAGCGATAATATGGTTTCATCACCAACTCGTTGACATTGAGAGCGACCACAGTCGCTGGAATGGAAAAGGCGGCGGAACACCCGACTATGCAGCCATTAGCACCTGGCATATTTTCGCGGTAGACGCACTACTCACACAGAATGGGAAAGATCCACTGATTGGGGTAGGGGGATTCGGGAAAGACGGCGATGTTTAATGCAAAAAGGGATGTAAGAAACGAGAGGGGAAGCTGCGAGTGTGGTGTCAGTATGCATTTCCCATTGAAGATATCGCCTCGCCGCCGCAGGGCACACTCACAAAGACAATCGTAACAATGGTGAAGACCATCGTGGTATAAGCCTGCTGTCGTCCGAATTCGGCGTCTTGATTGCCGGTGTGTTTCTGTCGGATATCCAGGAGTGTGTTTATCTAAATGGTTTCGGAAATTAACAGACGCGGAGCTTGATGCTGTAATTTCAAGACTCACTGATTCTCGTGTGCTTTGAGCCTCTCGCTGCACGGCCTGTATCTCTGTGCGCAGAGCGCGCCTGGAGGGTGCGAGATTCTCCAGTGCGGCAAGGTAGCTTGAAGAGCACACCGACTCTTGTGCTTTGGTCAGTGCAAGAAGGATGTCCAACTCATTCTAAATGTCCTTGATCTCGTACAGGAGTTGGAACTCCAAGCCCAAGTCCCGCCTAGGTAGGGGATCAGCGCCAGTTGATGCCCCGACAACCTCTTCAATGAAAGCTCTCGTCATTTTAGTTTCCTCTTCGGCCTACGGAGGAGTCTTAGTGATCTGATCGAGCGAAACGGGACCGGAACAAATGCCACTTTTCCACACTCACCACGAGTCGAATAGTATCCCGAAAGATCTCCAGGGGCTGCTTCAGGTTGTGGTTGCCTTCGACGCTGACGCTGTGCATCTGCGGACCCGTGATGACTCTCAAAATAGTTTCCATCATTTCAGGAGCTGTCCTCGGGCTAGGATGCCTGCCTCGCGACTCACTGAACACCAGGTCTTCCAAAACGAGATCGACAAAGGACTGAAAGTCACATGTGCTGGCAGTCACGATGGTCGCTAGCGACAGTCAGTAATTGGAAAGAGCGGGATGAGTACTTCAAGCCTGCGGAAAGCAGGAACTAAATGCCCACACCGTCATCAACAATCCATAGCCATAGCTGATCAACTGAGAACACTGAAACTTTCCGAGATAGTTCGCTAGAAGTCCCGACTTCCTTTTCTCCTTTGCGAGAATGGGTCATGAGATAATCTCCACTATCTCGCCATTCCAGGTATCGAGAAAGGACCTGTTCGCGGTCTCGGACGGTGGTATCCGCCACAATGCTGTAGTAATATTGATCGAGAGTCATACGCTCATGGACATTCAACGCGAGTCGGTTCTCTTTTGATTCTGTGGTCGATGTTGCTGCTTTAGATGAAACTTCGATTCCATCCGACTTCGAACCCATCCCTCCAATCTCGGAAACCGTTAGAAACGGCATCTGTCAAAAATTAGACTACCGAGCATCTGTTGCGAACAAGAGGATCACACATAAAGCGCTGCTGCCAGGGATTCTTCATCCTCGCCGGCAGGAACCGTCATATTCGAAGTTTCTCCTGGGGTTGTCCTTCCAGTTTTGTTCATGGGAGCAGTGACCTGAAAGTGCTTAGTGGGTAGAAATAATCAAAGATATTCTTGAGCAAGCTCCCACCAGTAATTGTGGCCTTATGTATCGTTTCCCACCCCCTGCAGGGCTTTCAACCAAGCCTAGCCTTAAGAGTTTCATCAAGTACTCGTGCTCCTCTTTTGTCTTGCGAGAATCGACCCCAATCCGCGTGATAAGGTCCTACCAGGTCCAATGAGCGATCACATGGCTTGAATTGCCAATCTTTGCTCTGAATCAAAGCTCCGGACATACCTCGGCCAGTCGCATCTACTCAGAATTTGACCTTGTTAGTGTCGGACTCGGACAATCGGATTCAGAGCTCAGCACGTACATTGTGGACGGGAGTGTGAATCCATCGGAAATCCCTTGACTCTTTCTCGGTCAGATGTTGTCTAGGAGTAGTGCTCTCATTCCTCTCCAGTTGCTGTTCTCGCCTTGACATTGCCGGTCGATCAGCAACAGTTTTCTGGTCTATAGTCGCTTTTGTCTTGGCAGATCTGAATCCCAATTCATTGGGTGACTCCAGGTCAATCGAGCTCGATCGTTGGGTCGGGTCTTTCAGGTATTGCTTCAATTGGGTCAAGCTCGAAAAGTCATGCTTGTCAACATGCGACAGGATAAGTTCAGGCCCTTTGTCGTAGATAATCTCACCCATGGTTCGCCGTTTCATCACAAATCCCGCTTCATCCATGAAATCCACGATGATTCCAGTATTGTTTTCAATGAAATGCTTGCTCTCAGCTCTAGGGATCGGTTTCTCAGGCTGGTGAAAGTCGTCCTCAATGGCCGCGTGAGCGCTAACCCGCGGCGGGCTCCTGAGGAGATGAGAAATGACCGAATCAGCCTCGGACTGAGAACCATTATGGGTCCTGCTTTCCAGTATCTGCACAGCTTGACTAATCTCTTTCTTCTTCAAGTGTGCTCCGTTCGAAAGCAGCAACCAGACCAGTTCCGGCCTGGCACTCTGCACAGCCCAGTGCAGAGTTGTCCAGCTCGAAGTGTCAACTTCGGTTTCTTTCTCGACGGCCTTCGGATGTAAAAGATGTAATAGGACCCTGAGTATCCGTTCACTACCAGGCTCCTCAAATTGGGCTGCAAGCTCCATCAGTCGCTCGAGATCGGCGTGAGAGAAGCGCTTCAAGTTCTCCTTGTTGCTTGCAAAGGCTTCGATTTCCGCCCACAGTATGTCACTGGTACCTCTACCCTTGGCCTTCGCAGATAGACTGATTGCGGACTCTCCAAGCTCATTATCTGCGATGATGAACTTGATCAATCTCGTTGCATCGCATTCGCGCGGGGTTGCAGCCCCCGGCCCAGGCGCCTGCTTCCCCGCCTGGCTTGTGAGGTGCTCCAGGAGATATTTCACCGTGACGCTATGCCCTCCAACACAAGCCAGATGAAGGGCAGTCATGCCACGCTCTGTGATGGCGTAGACATCGACACCATACGTGATCAACTTTCTAGCCAACTCGCCGTAATCAAACCGCGACGCGATATGTAGCCATGTTGCTCGCATGGGACCTGAATAGTCAATGAGGCTTGGCAGAGTGTCCAGGCACTTCTGTGCCAAGGGCAGACTGCCGTTCACTACCACCCATTGCATGACGCAGGGGAGGTTTGACTCCCATGGTTCGAGACGAGTGAATTCATCCAGTAGGACCTTTTCCACTCGCTTGAGTTCGCGGGGCGTCGCTAAGCGGGGCGAGGACTCGAGCAGATCGGTGATGCTATAAATGGGCATCTGAAATAACTGCAAGAGCGTCGGGAAATCGCCTACAGCTGCGCTCACTGACATTGGCGTGTCACCCTTGTGGTCGGCAATGGTCACGTCAACATCTGGGTCGGCAAGTAGTTCTTTGGTACATTATTTCACCCGTAAATAAATACTCTCTCTCAGGGGCGTGGCCTTCTTCTCGTGACTCTGGGCGTTAAGCATTCGCCTTCGGTCTGATCGCGGGATGCCGGGGGTCTGTAGTAGAAGTCGCACGATCTCGCTCTGATGCTCGCAGACGGCAAAGAACAACGGAGTCCAGTCTAGAGAGTCAGACAAGGTTACATTGGCCCCGTGGCTCACCAACACTCGAACACATTCAAGGTGACCCTCCCAGCAGGCATACATCAAAGGTGTAACATCATCGGATTTCCGAGCATCAACCACCGCATGCTTTGCCAGGAGCGCCGATGCAATCCTGGCATGGCCCCTGAGAGCAGCGTGATGCAAGGCTGTCTCTGCATCGCTAGTCGTATGATGCACATCGGCATGACTGCGCAGTAGTAAGTGGACGATGTCATCCTGTCCCAAACTCGCAGCGAGGATGAGGGGTGTCCATTCCTGCTGCCTAGCAGCAGGTTTAGCTTCGCGTGATCCATACCGGGACTCTTTCAGCCAAAAGTCGAAAGTATATTCGAACCTCACATTCAAAGCACCATCGCTGATTAGCTTTTCCACATCCCCTACGGAGTTATCAACAATTGCAGCAATAGTTTCCGAGCACAGATCGCGGTTAACGACTGCCACGGAGGATCGTTCTGATACTTCAGCTCCCTCGAGTGGGCTCTGATCCTGGGCCATATTATGCTTGGGAATCAGCTTCTCGAATTCTGGCTTTGGGAGAAGATGTAGGTGCTTGATCAGAGCATGTGTGTTCGATCTAAGTGTGTAAGCAATCGCCGTGTATCATTTCGCATCATAAGCCATACCGAATTGAGCTAGTCTCGCATGCACTTACGCAGCAAGACCAGCATAGAGTAACTGACTGTCAAGCGTCAGACCACGGGCCCCTTTTGGTTCTGTAGATTCCAAAGCGGCGTTTCAGATCAATGTAACTACTGAGTGGCTAGGACTCAAAATGTGAAGGTATGTCCTTAGTCTGGCGCTCACTTTCTCCCCCGCAGAAGGGAACCAGTAGTCGACACATGACGCCAAAGGAAAGTCGCTAGCAGAGCGTTGATCACTCGTGCTAATCTTTGTCGACTACGCAGTATACTGCTGAGCTCGGCTCGGAAGAACTATTCAGGAAGTTCGGAATTTCGAAAGCTAGCAAGGTAGTCAGTGAGTCAGTTAATTAAGTCGTACTCAGCGTACTCGCCTTGAAACAGGATAACTAGTCCCACTCAACAACACCTGATCTATGCCTATATAGAAGCGCTAGATAGGGCACTTTCTCCGTACTTATCAACCAAAATGAAGAAGGGAAGTAAATACATCATCTGTCTGGATTGATCATAGGCCTTATGAACAGTAAGAATAAACCTCACTACTAGATTTGTTTTAGAAACATAATCCTAAGTATGAAACTGGGTTGGTTCCCCCAGTTCAAAGTCAAGGCGGTTGGTGAGTCTCAAGGCCCCTCACAGACGGCCGCATGACCTTCAAGGCCGCCTTCGACGTTGGCGAGGAACTCTTCAGCGCTAGCGCATGACGAACCTTCTGATTTGATGAGTTAAAAATAAGGAGGGATAGGGAATATGATAATGATTATTACGTCTTTACCTAGGTACTGCGTATGCCGGGAACCAAGCACAAAAAATGGTATAATCAGTGGCCAGGGCCCGGGCCCCTTCATTATATGCCACAATATCTAACTAGAAAGAAAGCTTGACTAACTTTCTATAACTCGCAAGAATAAAAAAAAAACGCATCCGTTAGGGGACGGTGGCTGGCATCCCACCAGACGATTACTCCTCCCTTCTCGGGGCTAACTACCACCGTACTGCATTGACACCGCCATGCGCTCCAACATCTCCTCCCTCCATCCCCAGCCCAGAGCAAACGTAGCACCCGGCCCTAGCACAAAAGTCGACGCGGCGCACGCCCCGACGACCTTCCACCAGGAGAAGAACGTTACCTCGGACCGCGCCTGCTGTCGCTGCTGCAACTCCCGGAACCTCAACGCCAGCCACACGAACCCGCTTGCCATGGAGATGACCTGGTCATACTGCAGGAATCGCGCAATCCCCTGCGGAAACGAGGTCACGGGGGCGAGGTGCTCCGTCAGACCTGGGAGGAAGAGACTGGCCACAGAGGCGCCCCGAGGCTTGGTGAGGCGCGTGTAGATGAAAGTAAGACCGGAGACGAGGGCGAGGGTGCGATAGAAGAACCGCACGGTGCGGATGTTTCTCCTGCACGTCTTGCGACGAGCGTCCGGGTCGGCCGGCGGCGGGGCGGGGAAGAGGCGCTTCGCGAGGCGGGCGATCGGGAGCTGGAGGAGGGGCACCGTCACGGGGAACAATTGCCAGATGGCATTGTACCAGCGTCGGGTTTCGACGGTGCCGGGGATGAAGTTGGCGTAGGTGGTGAGGTGGTAGCTACCCAGGAGGGAGATCAGCAAGGACCCCGTCGTGGAGGGGTCGATAATGCGGTTGTGGCCTGGGAGGATGCGGCCCAGGGGTGCGGTGATGTATTCGGCTGCGTAGTAGAGAGGAGCTATCAGGCCGATTCCGCGGAGTTGGAAGGCGACGCCGGCTGTTATGGGTCTATGGTGATGCAAGGTTAGGTGCTGCTGGGTGCCGAAGAATTGGGTGGGAGAATGCTTACAGTAACACTCTGTACCACGACTCGGCTCCGCGGAGACTCTCCAGGAGCCAGATGCCATACACTGGGCCCAGGTCGGTTATAAACGACAGCATCTGAAGCCGAGAGTATGGGTCGGTCCCGCTGATCGAGGGCAAAAAGCAGAGAATCATGGGCCGGAGGAGGTTGTCCAGAAGTGAGATGTGGTAGACCGGCTTGGTCAGGCTAATGACTTCGCCATTGCTGGCGGTCCAGGTTCCTTGGCTGATTTGCGTAATGAGGTATGGCATGAGCTTCTGGATTACAGCCCCCATGGTCGCGCTCGCAGCAGCGTAACAGCCTACCAAAGGAGCAGTCCAAAGGGCTCGCTTCCAGGCCTTGTCCGCGGGTGTGTAAGGGTAGCTGTCAGTGTACGGCATGGTGCATTGCAATGACCTTGCCGGGACTGGCTCGCAGTCGAGCTTGACGGCCCTGGACATATTCTTGGAGTTGATATCCAACAGGTAGCGGCCAAGGCGTGGAAGTACCCAGAGCGCAATGAATCTATATTTCGGGGACGCCAAAGCCTCAATCCGAGTCAAATCACCAGCTGCTGAATATATGGGGGGGAGACGAGCAAGTCGCACTTCCTCCCAGGCCTTCAAACAGCGGTCAATCTCAATGACAGGGATACTCTCCTCGGACGAGTTTTGGACCAACGCGGCTAGGCTGTTAGCTAGAGACGCGGCACTCTCAATGGCACTCATCCCGCCCTGGCCCAGGTTGGGGGTCATCTGTGTAACCAAGAAATCAGCGGCACTACCACGTATAGCTCGCAGCTCAACATACCTTGTGGATCGAGTCACCAATACAGACAAAGCGATCCATGCACCAGTGCTTAAAAAGGGCTTCTTCCAGAGGAACCATTGTTCGCGTTATCGTTCTCTGAACCACCTCTGAGAATGGCACGGTATCGGTGACCGGTTTGTTCAGGTAGGCTGCTATGTGCTTTTCGAGATCGTCTTGGCTATACCGAGGGGTCTCGTTGCCCGTATAGACCTGATCCATCTTGGTGAAGAAGAACCAGTAGACGCGCCCACCCTTGCTTGAAATCACCAGGAATGACCAATCCTTGCCATACGTCCGATGAAGCAGCCCGGGTTCCAGTCCCGGGGTTGGCTGCGAAATGCCAAACACACAGTTATATTCCGACTTCATCCCTGTGCCCCACGAGGGAACGGAGTCAGTACCGGCCAAACAGTCCCAGAAGAGAGGTCGCATACTTGTTCTTTCCTCCGCGATCTCGTGGATGAGCCCGCGAGCTTCCATGTAATCCCACATCTGATACCGGATAGTACTCTTAACGCCATCCGCACCCACAACCAAGTCTCCCTCAAAACTCGTGTTATCTTCACAGTGTACCACCACCTTCTCGGGCAGGTGATCCACTTTCGTCACTCTCTTGCTCAGAAATACCCGGTCCTGTGCAGGCCCGAGGTGCTTGTAGAGGACTGCGAGGACAGCCTGGCGATCGAGAAATGCTACTGGGTACCCATGTCTGATTTCCCGTCAGTGGGGGAGGGGGGTGGTCACACATCACGTCTCACGCAGTCGCAGCAGAGATGTTGGATGGGGGGGCGCGAATGACCTACCTCTCTAAGATGAGGCGCAGGTCGACCGACTCGTTGATGAGCTTGCCGCTATCGGACCAGATGAGCTCTCTGTGGAGCGGCTCCACGAGGTCATAAATGTCGTCGAAGACACCAATCTGATCGAATATGCGACTGCCATTCGGGCTAAGGCCAATGGAGGCACCTACTTGAGGTGCAATGTCATTGTGAGACTCCAGGACAACAAAGTCGATGTTATTTCGGAGAAGGGAGTGGGCAAGTGTGAGGCCAGCGATGGAGCCACCCACTATGACCACGCGGAACTTGGATTGCGATGTCTTCTCCATGGTGAAGGTGAATAGGTAGCCCACCTATTGTGTGCAAGAAGTAACGGCCTGATTTCAAGTAGGTTTGAGGAGGGTGGGAAATGACAATGTATAAATACTACCACCAATACTACAGTAATGGTTTAAAGGTTCCACCCCAAGCACCGGCGGATTCATTTTCTGCGACGATCGCAAGGGGACAGGTGAAACTCTGTCGCGGAAAAAGTGGACTTCACAGTAACTACTCTAGATTCGAGATAAGTTAAGGACGGGCCAGACGAGTCGAGCCAATGAGTGTTGGGGTCTAGTCTACACACTAAGGGGAGTGGTAGAAGCTGCGTGTCCACCGCAGCAAATCGCAACCTCCATCGCACCCCTAAACCCCATTTCGCTGTCATGGCGTGATAACCGCCGCCATTCAAGGAGCTTAACGTTTTCCCCCACGTTACCCGACTACAACATCGTAATCTTGATACGCCTAAGAGTACTCGCGCTCCCTTGAGCCCGACCATGTGAATTGGCCGGCCTTACCGATGAAATGCAAATCTGC